TTTGGGGTTTTAGTTTAGGGTTTGGGGTCACCCTAGATTCCGACCTGTGTAGCCTCATGCTCACCTAGATTCGCCTTATTCTGCTGCATTCGGTTTGGCTTGTCCTGGCTAGCTTCTGTCCTCAGGTGCCTGGTTTAGGGGTTTGCGGTTTAGGTTTCTGAAAACAACACATTATCATGTTCATCTCTCTCTCTCTCTCTCTCTCTCTGATTATACATGATCCTACTTTGTTATACTATGGTATGCTGTGTATCTATACCTCATGTTATATCATATACTATTGCAAATAGCATCCACAACACGGATCCCTCGGATTGTCATATAATCCCTTTACATACATTATTGGGGTCTTTGGGGCGTTCCCTTTGCTGAGATACTCCTATACTAGCTGGTAGGTCAAGGGTGGCAGAGAAGCCCTAAACCCTAAACCTGGAGCGCAAAGGAGTCCAACAATCCGGCGCTCCTGTGTCCTTCAAATTGGGCATGGCTCAGATTTGGCTTGCAGGGCTTTTCAGGTGCAAAACCTGTGTATCTATATGTGTATATAGTCTCCCTTAAGTAGATATAATATGGGGTATATGCGGGATCTTTTTATAAATGCCCAAAGCCATATTCTATCTATTTAAGGGTGACTATACACATACATACATGCATGTGGAATTCGTAAGTAGGGGCCAGAGCATGTAGGAGCACAGTCTCCAATCTGTTCAAAGAAAAGGACACTTGAAAGTAGGCTTATGTTGCTTCTTGTATCCCCAGTATCTTGAACCTTACATGAGCTTTAAATGGGGCACACCTGGTGACTGCCTCTTGGAATTACCCTTGCTCTCGAAAACCTCAAACCTAAGCCCGGATCCAAATTTCCCTTAACCCTCAAACTCTAATTATCCCATCCCTTTCATCTCTACTCTAAACCTGATAACGCTTTATCTGTATCCTCAACCTGCAAACCCTTCAGCTCTACTCTAGACCTGATCACCTGAAACTCTACACCCCTAAGCCAAGAAATCTCAGGTGCTTCTGCCAAACCAGGAGCAGCTGCGACCCCTGGCAGAGCAGATGCTTGTTTCTTTGAGAGAAACCGGGGGTTTAGGGTCAAGGGTAAATAGTGAGCCTCCCGGGCTGGTTTCGGGGTTTAGGGTTTTGAGGTTTAGGGATTAGGGTTGGGACCCCCAGTATGAGATAGTCCAGATATTCCGAGAGCGTTATATCATACTGTATAGGGGATATTAAGACTAACGGGGTGGGGGACTTTGATATCAGGGAGAGGTGACGAGCGCCGCCAGGAATGGTGAATGGGAAGTACTTCGAAGAAGACTAACATCGGGGCCTTAATACTTGCTAATGTCATGGTCCTAGGTCCTACACCCCAAGCCCTGATCATGGCCCTAGGTCCTTTCTATGATGATCTCAGGTGGGCCTCAACTATTACATTTTTTCAGATTTAATCCTTTCAAAACCGTAAACCCTACACCTTAGACCATAAACCCTAAATCCTATACCCCGAAGAGGCCTGGGCATGCTGGTAGAGGCTTAGAGCCATGCTTCGAGTGCCAAATCACTCGCTGAGCCTTACTTGGAGGTTCATGCGACTTGGTAACTAGTTCTTACAGGGCTTATAGCCCTTCTGAAGATCCCCCTAAGTGGACTTATAGGGGTTATCCCAATTATAAGTAGAGGTTAAGCCCAATTATAAGCAGTTACTAGGTCCCATGAGCCTCCAAGTAGCTGCAGCTGCCATCTTGAAGCCAAGATTTCCCTTCCTCTACACAATCCTGACGATATTCAAGTGTACCCCTGTTTAGGGTTGGGGTTGGGGGCAAACATAAGATTTACAACGTCACCCCTACCCACTTAACGGGGGCGGGAATTAGCTAAATGGTTATCAGTGCTTGTCATCAAAATTGCTAGCCATTAAGCGTATTCCCCGGCCATCTAAGCAACCAGATCCCCTGAAGCCTAAACCCCAGACCCTAAACCCTAAATCCTAAACCCTAAACTGCAAGGTTTGGGCTATTGGGGCTCCTCTGGCCATGGCATATCTTTGGCTCCAAGTCCTCTCCCTAGCCAGGCCTGGCAAAGAAAGATATTTCGGTTTTTTTGGGGTTTAGGGCTTAGGGTGAGTGTAGAGTAGGGATTCAGGATTTAGGGGGATTGTGGTTTTACAGGGTTTCTACTAATGTCGGTTAAGGATTTTGAATATCGTTGGTCAGGGCTTGGCATCCACGCATGGAGGGAGTAGGCTGGAACACGAATTCTTGGTATGCGTTGCAGTACACATTGCAAACTACTGGCAGTTATGGCTTCAAGAACCGCTTTTACGAACTCTATGATTCCGTTTAAGGGTATGAGGGTATGCAGGGTTGCTGTTAAGACAATTTGCGCCACCATAACATGGGCATAAAGCAAATAGTCGGGTTTCCTCATTATAGTAACTTAGCTTCAGCTCCTTAACCTAAACCAAAACCCTGAACCCTACAGCCTGAACCCTAATTAAACCCTAAACCCCAAACCCTAAACCCTTAATCCTGAACCCTAAACCCCAAAACCTAAACCCCAGACCCTGAACCCCTGAACCCTAAATCTTGAACCCTAAACCCCAAACCCTAAACCCCTAAACCCTAAATCCTGAACCCTAAACCCTACAGCCTGAACCCTAATTAAACCCTAAACCCCTAAACCCTAAATCCCGAAACCTAAACCCCTGAAGCCTAACTCCTGAACCCCAAACCCTAAACCCCAAACCTTAAACCCCTAAACTCTAAATCCTGAACCCTAAACCCCAAACCCTAAAACCCAAACCCTAAACCCCTAAACCCTAAATCCTGAACCCTAAACCCCAAACCCTAAACCGATAAACTTATAGGAAGGTTTTAGGGGTTTTAGTGTTTTTGGGTTTTCGGGTTTTAGGGTTTTAGGCTTTTGGGATTTTAGGATGTTAGATTTTTTGGTTTTTAGGGCTTTGGGGTTTAGGTTTTAGGGGTTAGGCGGCCCCGTAATATGCGGACCCCAGCCCTAGCCTGAAACCCTAAAGCCTAAAACCTAAACCCTAAAACCAAAAACCTAAACCCCAAACCTAAAACCTAAACCC